GTTATTAGATGCCTTGTCAACAGTGGTGATAATGAATTGATCATGTAGGGAGCGTAAGGCAGTACACAGCGTGGACCAAGAATATGGTACACTGCTCAGGCAAGCAGTACTTCTAAATTGTAGAACAGCCAGAATTCTCCGTTTAAAATCCTCATAATGGATTGCCGTGAGTCGGTGAGCGCGACTGTTTTTGCGAATGAAGTCGTCAAGTGCAGAAGATACGTCCGTAAATACATCTTCAAATCGGCGAATGCTAGGTTTTCTATAGTTAACACCCTTGGACAAGACGGAGCGCAGTGTAGCGTCAGGAACAATATTCAAGCATCCAGTGACGATGTGTCCAGAAGGGGGATAAATGAAAGGAGAAGATAAGCAGCGACATGGAGACTGGAGCAAGGTGATTAGATGTGCGGGGTTACTGTTTATGTTCCTGAGAAACGTGTTGTAATTCAAAATTCGACTGTTGGTCGGTCTGTCGTACCTGTATGAAATGGTAATCGAAGGAAATGGACGTACGGGGAACAATCGACGGGCAGTGGTGTCTCGGAAAATGGATCTGAGATGAAGGGACTCAAATGTCTGTCCGGGATAGCGAACTACAACGTATTCAACCTTGCGGGATTGAACTTGTTGTTTCGAAACGTTGCAACGATTCAAGAGAAATCCTTGGATAATGCACTTATTAACAAATGGCAACGTACCAGTACTCACGCGGCATCTAAGTAGGGATAGTGTCTTTTTATTAGCACAGCACAATTTGTTAAGGAGGGCTCGGATTCCGTCCGGGTTACCAACGGGACATGAAACTGCCTAGTCGATTAAATCGACATCCGGGATATGAGCCCGTCGTCTTCGTTTTCCGTGGCGTCGGCTCCTACGCGGCAGAGGCGTCTGGAAGTAAGGGTTCTTGCCCAAGTTAAATGGAAGGAGCCCATCTGAAACTGTGCCGTATGACTTAATACAATCATTTAGACCGTAAGGATAAACGGAATTGATGACCTTAATCCAAAACAATTCCCGGTCTTGCAGAGAGAATCGACCAGTGTCTACTGTTTCCAAAATTTCTATCCCTAATGAATTCGGTCCATGGTGAGGTTGCTGGAAGCGCCTGCATAGAATAGTTTGAGCTTTATGAAGGACACCCAGGCGATGTTCCCTTGCTCTTTCACGAAGACTCCTGGAAGTCTGTCCAAAATACTGCATATGACAAATCCTGCATGTAGTCAAATAAATTATGCCCTTTGTATTGCAGGTGAGGGACACACCAGGTTGACAAAGGGGAATGAAGGCACAGCCATTGATGGTGGCGTGTACCAACCCAGAGGAGGCAACCATACGGCAACAGAGGCAGTTGCTGCCGGAGGGAACTGTGGCGAAAATTCGACTGAAAGTATCAGAAGTAGGGATTCGAAGAATATTCTGATAACGACCAATACGGAAAACATTCCTGATAGCGCGACCACCCCTAAATAAAGCCAGATCGTCCCGGGACGGTCGGGAGGAAGATCCGGCATTGGTAAAAGTATAATAAGTGTTTGCTGACCATAAAAATAGGTAGGCGCCTGGCCAAGGACGGCTACCTGTTAAGACCCGCGCTACTGGGCAGGACTGCTGCCTATCGGGCCACGACCAGAACCCAAAATACTCCACCAGAGCCAGGCGGTGACGGGGGCCTTCGTCCGTCATCCTTTTAACCGGTAACCAGAGGTGGAGCTCCCTAAGCCTGTAGCGGCCGAGAGGTTTTGGCGCAACATCGAAACTCGGTTATGTTACAAGCTAGAGCGCTGAAATCATAAGAGGATATTCCCCGTCCAGGCCGGTGTTAACGAACTTAAATCTACCCCCTTGGCAGGCGCCGTAACCGCGTACTAGGACTCCATATTTTTTTGGCACAAGTTCAAAACTAGGTAATCTTAGAAGTTAGAGCGCTGAAATCATAGGAGGATGTTCCCCGTTCAAGTAGGTATTGACGAAGTTAGATCTACCCCCTTGGTAGGCGCCGTAACCGCGTACAAGAACGCCAAATTTTTTTTTGGCACAAGTTCAAAACTCGGTAATTTTAGAAGCTAGAGCGGTAAAATCATAGGAGGATGTTCGCCATCCAAGTCGGTGTTAATGAACTTAAATCAGCACTCTGGAAGAAAGCAATTTTTCAGCCCTTTCTTTACTCCGGGTGCCCGCAGCAAAAACCAACAACACACTTTTTCTCCTTGTCACCCATCACTCCCCTTCCTCTGTCTGTCCTCCATTATGCATGACTTAGCCAACCAATAAAGGATCTACACCATACAGCCATCTATCGCAACCCCGAACGAAACTTGCAGCAAATCCCCCTTCCCTGCTCGCATATCACATTCGAACTCCCGCCACTTGCCATCGCCGAAGAAAATTTTTCGCAGATCGTGTATGATGCCAGCCGGGCCGGGCTGAGCCGAGTTTTAGTAAATGTCAGGTAGGAATGGTATGAGGGACGTGTGTTTAGCGCAACTTTTGTTTTATTGTTTTAGATTCGTGTCCTTTGTTTTTCTTTCAAGCTTACGATTGGAACGGAATTGACAGAAATCGTGCATTAGGGGTTTTGCACTGTGTAGTGCAGTAAGTTGAGGCTTCGACTGTGCGTCATGCAGTGCCTCTAAGATTCGTTCATTCGTTTCGATGGTAAATTGGTATTGGCGTATGCCAGGGAGTAAAAATCTGTCATCATTATTTTGCGTCCGAGCAACCCTCGAAAGGGGCAAAAGCTGTTGACAGCTCTTCTGGCGAGTTGCTGTTGCTGGCATGTGGTACCACTCGTGCTACGTTTGAGTGCCTGCGCTTCTCACAGAATGATTACGGCCCGGGTTTTGTCCTGTTTTTGCATCTTTGATGAGTGCGATGACACATATTGACGCGTACTATGATTAGCCAACACAGCAGCTGTCTTGCTGACGAGGTCCAGTTGCGGTGCTGAATAGGAATGTGTACCAACTTAACGGACCGAAACATTCCCGTTCATTCGGTTACTTTTTTTTTTATTTACTTTTATACTGCATATATGTTGTTGTTAGTGCTTTTTTTTTTTGCTCTAATTCGATCGAGGAGCAGAACCCTGTGCAGCACCATCACGTGCATATCGGCTGCTGCTTCGTCGCACAAGCTCATTCAACAGCGCGCACATTGCAGATAAGGTGCTGAGGTGGTGGTGGTGCTAGTGGTGTTAGTGGCGACACTCGCATGGAGGGCAGCGTCAACAGGGAAGAGGGAACAGCAATCTCGGGCCAGGCCATCATCGAGGCATATCATTCGGTGAGTACTTTTTAAATTCCCGAAGCCAGTGCTGCAATAAACGGAGCATTGAGTATTGCCCGTCCAAATTTGGTGCATTTCGGTGATTTATCAGTTCAGATTTGGCGTTTTAGCTTTTCAGCTACAATTTGGATTATTTTTTGTTAATAATATAGATAAATTTTCCGGAACTTCTGCTGTTTTAGAATTTGAGAAATTTCAGGGCGACGTGGATGGTGCAATAACCTACGGGAAAATATGCAAAGCAGTAGACTTGCTGAGTCGTTGGCAACCGAAAGCAGCTTGTGAATTCTTGCTGCAATTCGTGGATATCGCTTATCTACTGGATCATCGCTGCAAGGAGCTTGTACTCAAATTTGCGGTTTGTTTTCATGTCTCATGTGACTGCTACAGCAAGTTACGCACCACAATTGAATTGTATATCGCTGCAGTTCCGTAATCTGCCCCTATATTACCCGAAAGTGTTTTTTTTTTTTTTTGACATGTAATCCACCAAATGCTGCTCTCTTCAAGCGTGCATTTTACATATATTGTCATTAACATATCAGCATTTTACTGTGAGCAATTTGTTAGCAGTATATTTAAAATACACACATTATGAGCAATGCATGGATGGATTACGGGAAATAATTATATGTGTATGTGTATATATATTTGACAGAGATACAAACAAATATACATACATATATATACATACATACATACATATGTACATATATATATACATACATAAATGCATGCATACATGCATACATACATACATACATACATACATACATACAT